TTTCTGGATGAACAACGAAATATAGGTGTTGGGCGTTTATTATACACATTATATATATATATTATACAAACATGGCAGCAACTAGTGGGCTGATGTGGGCTGTGACATATCCCTCTTTGTGTGCATATTGCTGCCACGTCGCCGGTTGCCGCTTTGCAAGAAGCTGGGCCAAGGCGCAGTGAGGATCATGCAAGGTGCACTTACTTGTCGCGGAGTAAATTAAAGCACCGTGTCCGGGGGAGACCGGGTGAACTGGCATGTGGACAAATCCGCCAAGGCCATGGCCATGGCTATACTTAAAGTTTCCCCAGACCGAGACTGAATCCCAGATCTGAAGCAAGTGAGGGGTTAATGAGGGTAAGGCTGAAGTATTGTTTTCTGCTTTGGGGGTCTGACCCAGGACGGTCCATAATTTTATCTCATACCTACCTCACTCACTTCGCTTTGTCCCGTACAGTGCCAGACGCATGACTTCCCTTCTGAATTGGGGTATGATGTTGGCGACCTCTCAAATGACATAGATCCTCATGCATATCCGCCAAAGGGTCCCCCTGTGAAATTCACAGCCATTTGTGGAAAGCATCGAAACATGTTATGAGTAGTGGTGAATCTTTGTTTGGGTGTCGTTGACAGCATTCGCGAGTTACAATCAGCAAATTGGCGCTAGCCACAAATGTCTTTTCTCAATTGAGAACTGTGACCCCAGCATCAAGCAGGGCTTACTTGATGTTTTGCTGGACGACATTGTCTTGAGATATGGGGATCCGTGCTTTGAATCACACCTCTAGGATGGGCTGATACAAATCGATGTGTGATGGGGATGCCCAGGAGATCTACTCCTGCATCGTCAGACATTTGCCCCTTGGCTGGTTGGCTGAGAGAGAGGGGAATCGCCTTCGCGGAGTTCCCCTGGCGGGGAGGTGAATAGGCGCACATAGGCTATTGTCGCTTTTGTTTCATCCCACCCTCCCCGGTTCTCGGGTGACGTCAAGCTGACACATCGCTGGGGTGCTACGCATTTCGCACGGCCCTGCTCAAGTCACTAAGCAACGAGAAGGCCATGGAAGGCGAAGGACGAAGGACATCTCTTATGTTGTAAACTCAGTGGGAACCGCAGATTTGCAGTGGGAATCATTTCCAAGAGGAAACCAGCATTCCACGTTGGTGAGTGGGCAATGGTATACTGAATAGTGTAGTAAGCCCTGGTCCCCTGCTTGATCAATAAGATCCTGCACTTTTGGGGGAAGCACCCCTGCCTTCAATATGTGTTGATTTGGGGTGAACATTAGGGACATCTTGTCAGTTTTGATTCAGAACCCGCTGTTAAACAAGTGTGGAATGCCAAACAGAAGCCAAAGAACAAGTCGAGCTTCTGTTGGGGTGTTTGTTGCCTAGTTGGACCAGTGCACCCTCCCTTAAGCGTCCCAACAGAACATCCAAACGGAGTCACATGCTACAACCTTTGCCTGGACAAATTCACAGCAACCTGCTCAGGTCGCGGCTTGCGAGCTTACCATTGTTTCTTTCCTGGGGGTCTCTTATTTCAGCCGGTTGTGTTTGTTCACCCAGATGCAAAGACCCGGAGATCTTAGGGGGGCCCGCAAAGCAAAAAAAGGCCACCCACGGCGGGTAAGCCTTAGCACGGCCAAATACAAAAGATGACCAAACAGCAAGGGTACAATGTTGCTTACGTAGGTTCCCTTTGCTTTCAAACCTGCACCAGGAGAAACTCACCACTATGGCAAGCCATGCCATTTTGTCAGCAGGCTTTGTTTCAGTCTCCTTTTCAAAAGGTGGCACAAGGCGGCACAATGCGTCACCAGGATCGGAAATGGGGGGCGCAGGTTTGACGATCCTGTCATCTGAGGATAGCCTTCCCCATTGCCCTGAAGCAGCACCTCAAGCGCAGTCCCGACCTCAGCTGATCGCACCGTTTTGTCGCATACGTTTCGTCCGTTGTATAACCAAATAACCAAATACTCATTGTGAACACCACTGCTATTTGAGCAAAGTCTAGAAACAAAACACTCACAACGGGCCCTCTTTGGACTTCCTCAGTGAAAAACCATGTTTGGCAAAGCCCGGAAAAGGCGACTTGTTTAAAATACCAGAATCATTGGAAAAATGTTTGGGAAGACCCTAAATGTGTCCTTTTTAGACTGCCTTATTGGGCCTTATTGGAAACATTGCAGAAAGGGCCTTCGTCAGGTTCTCTTATTGGACAAATACCTACGGCACAAGTCCCAACCAGTGTCGTGTATTGGTGAACACATGTCTAGAAACCCTCCTAAACGTGGGTCCGGTTTCCTTTTAGAGGTACGGTTGTGTAATGAGACCCCTGATTCATAAAACCCCCCAGTTCTTAATCAATTGGTCTTCCCTTTCAGTGGCGATCATGCAAACGAACCCTTGTGATGAGACAATTGCTGGTTTCTTAACCAGGGGTTGACGTTCTCGTTTGATGCATTGGGTGTAGTTCGACATGAACCAACATGTATATATATATATATATTTATTAAGAAAAAGGGAAGAGAGAGCGAGCATGAGCGATTTGAGGCCGAGACCCGGAGGAATACATGAAGGTCTTGGAGCACCTTGGCGATGGGTCCATTGAAGTGGATTGCATTTCCAGGAACTGGGGCCAGGTTCCCAGAAGCCGTGGATCTCCACCCCCCGAAACATGGCGGCCTCGGGAGCGAACTTGAGCTTCTCAGGAAATCAATTTCGGGGTTTTGGGACTGAACTTGTAGAGGTCCCTATGAAGGGACGGGCTGACGGAGGATCCCCGCCATCCCCATCCTTCCACCCTCTCCTGTGGGTGACAGGCCCCCACACACCAAGTGGATCCTACTGCCAGGTTTGGGACCCCCGAACCACTCCCAGAGTGTTCAGTATGCGCAGGGAACAAACGCGCAGGGAACAAACCAAATAGGCTGTACGGTTGTCCAGTGCCACCCTTTCGTTTGCGGCTTGAGGTGCTTTTCTCTTCTGTTTTCCTACTTGCCACCCTCGTTAAAATAATAAATGCCCCGGCGTTGTTGAAGCAGCGCCCCAATGCTTCCTGATAACATCATAGGATACCAGGAAAAGACTATCATGAAGAACCAGGGCTTCACACAAGGCATTTTCATTGAGAAGTGGAATCCTTGGGGTAACAATACAACGAATGTTTTACGGTGGGGTCACCGAAAGCAACGGGCTGGCGGCTGAGGTATGCTGAGGTGGACGATGTGTGTCGAACGGGACGGCCGCACACGCTGCTGCTCTCGAGCTTGGCGATGCTGATCAGGCGCGCTGGCTGAACTTGGAGAACGCCAGCCGGTTCCGTTGGGGGCTGGGCTTTTCTTACCATGGGCACCAGGGCCCCCGTCTCAGCAGGGCTCCTTAAAAGATACATGTTGCCCATTCGAAACATGGTTTTTTCCACCAAAATAAAGGGACACCACCATTTGCAAGGCAATGTTCAGGTGCATAATGTAAGGATCCCTGTTCAGGCATTCATGGGTCCCGCAACAAGCAAGCCCCCAGCTGAGTCATGCCCGGTCTATCGGATTCGCCCTTGAAAGCTTTTGGCGACCACTTAGTTGTTGTTCTCATGGAACTTGCAAAAGCTATTTTGTTGTGCCTTCAAGCGCGGTTTGTTCGTCCCACTAAGTGAAGACTTGCCAAACTTGGGGATAGTTCTCACACATGTAACTGGCAGGATCCGTTATCCCTTGGCTCCCTTGATTGCGATATATTGTGACTCAATCGGACTCTCATGGCTGCAGGGCAGGCTAAGATGGCTAGAGGCTGCGTGGTGCGCTGCAGTTTGTTCTAAGCGCTTTGTCCAACTGAGTCCAGTGATCCTGGATTCCAGTTGCTTCCGTATGTGAGAATCATTGCCATGCCAAACCTTGTCCGAATCGAGTAGATTTGTTGATCTTGTGGGTTTCCCGCGCCCCCCCAGTCCATTTGTAAGGTTCCAACAGCTTCTTGCTTTGTTTCTTATTCCTTTCCGCGGGTCAGACCCCCTTGTGCATGGACTCAACGGGTTTGAGCCGGCGCTGCCTAGGCCGCTGCGAAACCGCGACGATGGGCTTGGGAAGAGCCTAGCGCTGTGGAGCCAGATGGACCGACTCCGATTCGGATCGCTCCGCGCCAGCTGATGTCTCTTGAATTGGCTGCTTGTTGCAGGCGACCAAGGGCAAACTACCCGTTTAGGCGGGTTCCATGTTGCTTTACATTTTTTATGGTTTGGATCGCTGCGGACAAGCTGAAGGCCCTTGAAGTGCCCCATATTTTGAGTACCCCCAAGGCAGACTGCACCCCAAAACGGAAGACAGTGGACTCCACCGGGCCTCGAGGGGCAGTTCGAGGGTTCTCAAGTTTACGGTTGGGACCCGATTTCCCGTGCGATTTAGCTCGGGTTTGTTTTTGGGGATGCTTGAGTTGGACTTTGGGACAGTGATAGACAGCCTTAGGGCGCCAGACACAAGGGTTCTTCGACCTTAGGCCATGCCAAAAGTAGTCTTGGGCCTGAGGCGTTCCGAAGCTTTGGGGGGGCCTTTGGCAAACGTAGTGTTATCCTCTAACAAATAATTCCCCCCTCCAGATAAACAAGATTTGTGGAACCAAGCTCAGGCAGTGCTTGGGAAGTGTAGGTGGTGATGCTCGAAGTGGGCACGCTGTGAGCGGACTATTCCTGCTTTGTCCGCATTTGCAGGATTTGAATGAAGTTGGCTGTAGGGATGCTCTTTCTCCGTGCATTGCCACGGCGTTCTGTGAACATTTTCTGGGATCTTTGGGGAGGCAGCTGTCCCATTGGGGCCTGCTCATTTATGGCAGGGTCAGGCGACAGATTTTGGGAAGAAACACCCTTGGGTTGAACATAGCGAAACGAAACCCCATCGTTGACAGCAATCCCGGGGACAGTCCCATCCATGAACAAGTTTGAAACCTCCATTCTTCCCCCCCCCTCCCCCAGGAAAGCAGCTCCAGGGGTCTGTGCACTTACACGTTCGTTGGTGGAAGGGTACAGAATATGGGAAGCTAAGCAATTGCTAAGATGCTGATTTTTCGAAAGCATGACCTAGAATGTGTCGTTCGCACCCCACAAATTATGATTTGGGCAGACTACTTTCAGATTTGCGACTCTGACTCAAGCTTGTGTTTTTTGCTTCGCAGGATGCTTGCATCACCCAGCTGCAGACTATATCCTGCAACTTGGACCTGGTTGCACCTTGGCCGCAGCGGGAAAGTGCAAGCCTTGCCCCTGTGCCCAGCTCAAGTGTGTATTTTGTTTTTTCCCAAAAGGGAGGGATGCTGGCGCCCCCCCTAGCAGGTCCCCCCTGCCTTTGCCGAAGATTCATGGATTGATTTGCGTGTTTCCCTCAATATCTAGAGTAGCCTGTGAGAGAGGTGGTTCTGCTCGCTGAACTTGACTTGAAGTTCACAAGGGGCACTGGTTCCTGTGGACCGGTATCGATGTCGTTCTTCAACTTCAGGGAGTAAGCACCGTGTCAGTTTGGTACAAATTTGCATTTCTAAGCTCGGTAGACCAAAGAAGCTACCATCCTCCATTGTGCACACCAAATGGATGGCCAGTCGTGTTCATAGTTGGGCCTCATCAACTCGAAACATGAAATCCTTGGTTTCGGGCACTGGTCATTGGGCAACAAATAGATTGACAAACACAAACAAACACACAACCCATACAGCGGGCTGGAGTGCTTAGCTATGTGTATGCGTGTGTGTGTGTGTGTGAGACGCATGTTGCATCATGTTACTGGGATGTGTGTGTGTGTGTGTGTAACCTGTTAGTTTCCAATCGACATCTACGGACATGCACAAAGCATCTTAGCCCCAGGAAGGTGTTGCTGGGGGTATACCTTTCCAATTTTCCTAGTACCGATCCGAGTGTTGGATTCCTCCTTTTGCAAGAAAAAAACGCTCCTTTTGGGGCATGGGGTTCATGTAATATGTTGCGCACGCTGCAGAGTTTAAATCCTCCCTGCACATCATTCTGCTACACGATGCTATTATCGGGATTCCGTTCAGTGAGTCAAAAACAGCGTTTGATCCGAACCAATTCGAGTCGGGGGCCCAACTCGAGCAGTTTTCACACATCGAAACAGCATACAGGATGTAGTCAAGTCCCTGGTGCAAAGCAAATGCCAATTCACTGCACTGCAACTCCGCCAGGCATCAAAAGTACTGGTGACAGGAAGCCAGCACAGGTAGCAGTGGAGTGCCCACAACAGCGTGCGTTGCCATTCACGAAGGGTCCTATTTAGTGATTTGAGCATTCAACACACTCATGTGTTTATCTTTGTGCAGGGGTTGACAGCTTTCAGTCCTCCAAATTGTCCCCGTGCAGGCTTGAAAATGCGCATGGTGTGTCCTTGGTTTCAGTGTCCAACCTTCAAATATTTGCTATGCACTGCTTCGCCCCCTTTGCACTAAAGATGGCCAGTGTCTCAGCGTGTGTTTGCTGCAATTCAACAAACATGCTGGCAGGGCCGCACTGTCAAACACTTTGTGCCCAAAATCGAACACAAAGTCCCGTTGTTGGTTTACGGTGCAGATAGTTCACAATAGTTCACATAGTGAGATCCATTCAGCACAGATATGTTAAACATGCGGGCTACAGAACTTCAAGACACGTAGTTGATCAACCACTGCAAATGTATTCATACTGAAAGATGGGCCCTAGGGTGGGGGAGGGGCGGGTGACCTTGCAATCTAGATGTGTAACATATGTGTGTAAAGATGCATATAGAATAGTCAGGGGCTGGACAAGACCAGGGGCCATAGGGAACCCAAAAAGCAACAGTGGACTTCTTTTGCTTCCCTTTAACACCACCCCAATACTCAAAGGCTACCTTCAAAAACACGCACCCTTTTGGTATCCCCTGCGCACGGCACCAGGGTCCAAAAAGGAACTGTATAATTAGTAGTTATATAATAGTGTATATATTTATATAATCCACTATTGTGTATTTTTGCCCCTCCCCATACTAAGTGGGTGTGCCTTTTTAGGGCTACTACTTTTTTGCTTTTGCGGGGGAAGCCCACCATGTTGGGGGCCCCCTAAAAAACGACACACTTGGGGCACAGGTTCAGCTGCCTTTGCCAGCCAGCTACACCGTCCACACCAGTCGCTTCATCCGGCTGTGGGCCAGGGGCTCAGTGAACCCCCTGAAAGAGTCCGAGGCATACGTCTCAGCCGAGTTCGCGTTTCCGTTGGCAAGCTTTTTTCCTAAGCAAACGGGAAACGTGAAAAACACATCTTGGTTCCCTGATGGTTTTGAGGTTTTAGTCCAGGGCAAGCGAAGCATCTGAATGTTGATACCGGATTAGTAAAACCTACCCCCTCCCCCATGCCCCAGATTAAGCGGGTTCTGGAGAAAAAAGTTGATCTGCGGGAGAAGAGGTAGAGAGCGGAAGGATGCTAAGCAAGGCTGGACAATTGAAAGTAGTGTTCAACAGCATGCTCTTTGATCCGTTTTGGGATTCTGAATGCGCGCCGCATTAGTCAGACGAAGAGCGAGTTCAGAAGACGCCGCTTTCCTGAAGAAGAGCCGAGGGAATCCGACCTAACTAGTGTCTTAGGGCAGGACGTCACAGCAGCAGAGTCCATCATGCGGAGCAATAATTGGCAGAAAGCGCAACTGTGCGAAGTACAGCAGATGCGACGAAACTTTGCCGCAGTGGTCTGGCTTAGTCCTTACCAAGGGCTGCGTTTGGAGGTTTCACGAGCTTCATGAGCGATTTTGTCTTGGTTCCCTTTATAGACCAAACGTCCTACCCTGAGCCTTTGAGCAACCCTGCGGGGCCATCCCCCCGCTGAAGGGTCACTGGAGGGGTGGGGGAGCGGCAAATATGGCTCAAACGGCTTTTATTGGGACGGATCATCCAGCTTGGAACTTGCGGTGTTCGTTTGTTGAAGGATGGAAAGAGCGTCACAGCTGCGCCATGGAAGGAAACCAGCCCCGGCCCAACCCCTCACAGATTGGCTAATGCAGCTGGCAGCTTGGACCAAGACAACTTGCAGTGTATCAGGAAACAAAGTGGCCAGTTGAAACACACAGGAATGTGTGAAAATGAGTCGACCTACAGCTGACGCGTGACATGGGACATTTGTGGGGAAACACGAGTTCCACAAGGAGAGTGCACATGTTCCACTTAGATGGGCACCTTGCCCTTCGTTTTGCTGGGCTTCATGCGGCCGGCGGCTTGTCTCAGATGGCTCCGGGCGTGCGGAGTTCTGACGGGCCAGTTGAGGTAACCTCACAAAAGGACGTGGTTTTCAGCACCTAAGGTACTTCTCATGTGGGTCCATTTCTGATATCTCAGGTTGTTGCAATGCCAATTCAGAGTGAGTCTGCAAGTTCCTATGAGCTCTGGAATAGGACGATGCATGTCGAAGGTCAATTCGGGCTTTCTTGTTTCCAGCAGTATGGTGTAAATTGCACCGAATGGGGCAGCCGAACCGGCCGGGTCAGCTGTTGCAGCTTCAACTTTGGCACTTTTCAGCATGCGAAGCTGTGATTTTCGGCTCCGGTGCTGGGCAGCAGCGACCCGCAGGTCTGGGCAAAGTGCGTTTCCAAAAGTAGGGGACACTCCAAACGCTGCTTCTTTTGGTCACCTTTCGAAGAGAAGGTCCGTTTCAAATTTAAGTTGACACCCCATCATTTTCCTCAAAGGCTGGACAGCCAGATGGGTGATCTTTTGATTCCAGACCCCATGGCTTGACCTCCCTTACTTTTGGCACTTGATGGCTGAGTCCCCCCGTGCCGAAGAACCCGTTCACGGAATTTGATCAAAACCCGTTCATGTTTGGAGGAATCTCCATTCGGGCGACTTTGTTTTGGCGTCTGTGACAATGGGGAGTATTTCTGAAACATCAATGATGGCAACCGGCCTTTTCTCTTGCCTCCTTCCATTTGGATTTTCCACGCGGCCTGGCGCTTGTAATCGTGGTCCTTCGATTTGTCGATGCGGGCACGGATCTCGACGCGCGTGGGCTGAGATCTTGGTCACACCGACAGTGCTGCTGATAGCGTGGGCTCTATACTCCACGGAGGCCGGAGCTTGGCACCCGTTCGGACCCCACGTGGCTTGGTGCCCCTGGAGGGTCTCCTCCAGAATATTTCATGTTGTAGGGTTGGCTCGACGCAGGATTTGCAAATAGCATTTTGGTGTGATTGGGGGGTGTGGCAAGGTTGCGAGGACGGCTTTCTGTGAAGCGGGAATCAACTTTTGAATGGCGGCCTTTGAACCATGGGCGAAGCAAGGCAGCTTTGCTGCGGGGACTCCTTTCCTCGTAGAACGATGTTTTTCACGTTTACGTTTGTTGATGGGAAGCTCTGGGGGAGGGTTGCCAAAGATAGGGGTCACCGTGTTGGCAATGCGTGTATATACTTGTAGCTACACCCATCCTGTTGTTCTGAAGAGAAGTTAATGATTGCTACTCAAAGACGTTTCCCCGCGGCAAGTCATCCATGGCCTATCAATCCTTTGCATCCATGAAAGGAAATTAGGATGAGTCACTGATCATTTGAAAGGGTCGATTATATAGACTATGTTTGGACGGCTTCCCAGATTAGGCTACATTGGGAGAGAGGAGGGATGGTGGCGAGAAAGTGAAGGAGAGAGACAGGGAGACGCGTTTGTTCTGTGGCGTTCACCAATTGAACGCCTGCCTCGCTGGCAAGAATGGCAAAGGTACAGCTAAGACAAGCACTGACTTCCTCAGCAAATCAAGAGGACTCATATAATGTAAGGGCAAGGGAGTGCAAAGTTTTTCCGGAAGTCCCCTCTACTGGCAGTGACCCGCTGCAAGGCTGCTGGCTGCTTTCTTTCCCAGTCCAAGATGAATGGCACCACGTGATACGAAGGGGTCGGTGGGTCCATGGTCTTTAACCAGCTGCCGCAAGGCAGTGACCGTACAGGTGTCCCGATGTTTTTGTTCTTTGTTGTTGCGTTGCTTTAAAGGGGAACCAACTGGCCACCATTTCGGAGTTGCCCCTTGCCCCCATTTGGAGACAACCACATGTGAGCCGCGCCCTTCGGGCCCTGCAATCGCAGTCGTCGGTCCCGGCAAGGAGTTGGCACAGATCATGGAGGAGCCTTTCGGGGATGACGCGGCAGGCGGGTGATGGGCAAGTGCCATCCCCCTACCAACGACAATATTCAAGTGAGGCCAAAGCTTGTCTTTGCCATTTAGTAGGTGGTTCCACTAGCCGATTCTTAACAACGTTGTAGCAAGGCCTATATAATACATATGAATCTCCATAGCCATGCTGGTATGTTCCGGGCACTGTTTGTGTGATCTTAATCTTGGCTGAAACCGGAAGGCCGAAATACTGATAAAATTTCCAGAAAGGGAGATCATGGCGGTTATTTCAGTGGGTTTTGCGGTATCTGTTGCTTCCTCGACACTTGTTGCTTTGCATTGCGGTTGTTCAACACATTCACTTCGAAATTGAAGTAGAACCACTCCAGTCACTCCAGATGAATTATTTCGGTTCTCTGTTGACTGACAACATCGGGTTCCTTTCATGGAGCTCTCGTTTGTTGGCTTTTCGGTTTAAGACCCCGCACGCAGTCAAACCCAGATCCGATTTAGAGATCGCTTTACCATTTGCGTGATGGCTTCCCTTACTTGCCCACTGCCATGCCAAATACAGGTGCGTCTTTTTATAGGTTACCCATTTGGAGCTTGTGTTCACGGGAAACCAAAGGGACACCGACCAATGTTTTTGGGGGTGCGCCTGCTTGAAGACGAACCTGAATGGAATCACTCGGGCAGGTGAAAATCCGGCAAGATTGCCTCGTTTTTTCAAGGGTCCCACGTCTTAGTGAGTTTGATTTGGCAGGGCTGATGTTTTGATAAGGAAGTGCAGGGACCCCTGCACCTGGTCAGATCCGCTGTTTGGAGGTTCTCATGTTGGGAAACTCCGAGCCGTCCCAGTTGGTACGTGAGGGATTTACCGGATTGTGAATCATGGCACTTTGTGCCAGATTGCAGCCCACTTCAGTCGCATGTTGGCTTCGGAAGGCAAACCTGAGACCATCAAGCTGGACGTGTTTTGCCACTTTGGCCGCACACAACCGCACCATGCTGGCGGAACGAAGCAAACCGTTTCTTTTTTTGTTTTTTATCCGTTTGGTGCCCAGTACGTGGCAGCCAGTTTTGTCAAGGGGGAAGACAAGTTTCCTTAGGTTTCATATTATTTACGACCCTTGGATAGAGCTTTCCGAATATCGGATGGGATTGGGCAGGCAACTGTCAACACTTTGCGTTGCAAATCTGATGACTGACAGCTAAGTCGGTTCTATCGAGTGGTGGGTTGATATGCAATGCTTGTAGCTCATGTTTGTTTCACCAAGTTAAATGAGGGGTTGGCCCAATCCTGGCTTTGAGTTTGACCCTGTAGGAGCCGGAGGCAATAGCCGAGCGGTCAGCATTCAACTTAAGATCTACGGTGGGCAAAGTGACCGCCTCAGAGAGGTTTAGTGTTGCAATGTTTTGCATGTACATTGAGGACGTACCACTGAATTGCCCGATAGCTTGAGGACCACTTGTTTTTGTGCAGTTGTCAACCAGGGTTATCAGTTATCATAGTTCCCCTTTTGGGTGCTAAAGATTGAGTTTCCTTTGAGTGAGGACATAAAGGGACCCCTGGTCTACGGAAGAGGCATATTTTGGGTTGCTGGGGTAACCTTCTGGCTCGCCATGTTATCAACGTAGTTTTCCTTTTCAGTAGCATTTCCGCTCATTCCCCTGCAGAATAAATTGGACCCCAATAGCCTCCATTCGAAGACATGATGTTCTTTCTTAACATGGAACCCAAATCCTTTCATTTGTAGACGACCAACCTTCTTTATCACCATGCAACCCCGAAACCCCCTTCGTTTCAGACCCCCCCCCCCTCTTTTTGGGCTCCATCCGGGAATTTGCTTTTTTTTGGCTTGGAGGGGCTCCCCACTGATCTGTCGAGCGCATTCCTTTTGGGACCCCAGGCCGCCGCATCATTTATGCCTTGAAGCAGCAGGTGTGGGTGCAGGAGCATTTCGCATTGCACGGGCTCCCTCAATTTTTGTTGGGTTTTGTACCTCCCTTAAAGTGGGAATTCAGGGATAAACCGCCTGTTTGGGGGGGTCCATTATGTGTAACCGTGTTTTACCCATTTTACTAGGTTCACAACATGTGTTGCATGTTTGAAGGTCTCTGAAGTTACTTTTGTGGATGGCTTCCCTAGGTTCCCGTTTCCATTGAACCCGCCTGCTAGCCATTTCGAGGCTGGTCAGTTTGTCACATTCATGGACCCAGTCCTAAGGAACAAAACCTGGAATCCTTGGCCACAATGGTGACTCGCCCAGTGTTTGTGACCCAGGTGATGAAGGTTCCGTTCATGGGGAATCCTTAGTTTGGGTTGGTGAGTCATGGTTTTCAGACGTGGTTGATCCTTCTCGTTTCATTTTGAGAGATCCAACAGGCGCCTTCAAAGCGGATCTAGTTTTTAGGACGCCCACATTTACATCTGAGACACTGGTCCTTTTCACCTACGGTCAAGTTGCTTTTTATGATGTTTTCTCTGAATTGCAGCGGGGCTGACTGGTTTTAACACCTTCCTGCATGCCGGGATTGGCCATTTGGGAATGAGCAATGACTAAGTTTGATAGCTGCCACGTTGCAATTCACAAAAACAAACCCGTGACACCGTTGCTTGGCCTCGAAGTTTGAGTTCAAACTCACCAACAAAACCAGTTGACGGATTTGTCATGTTCCGTGGCCACTTGAGAACCTGTCTCTAAATGTGTAGTTTAAAGGAAGACCACCCCCAGGACTAATTTAACATGCAGCCTCTGTAAGGGGCCCGAACCGGTGCCATGGAAAAGTGGGGGGCATCTTCAAAGTCGGAATGCCCACCCTTTCGGAACCAAGGATCCACCAATACCTGAGGTTGACACACACACACACACACACACACACCCACCCACCCACGCACGCACGCACGCACGCACGCACGCACGCACGCACGCACGCACGCACGCACGCACGCACGCACGCACGCGCACGCACGCACGCGCACGCGCACGCGCACGCGCACGCGCACGCGCACGCGCACACGCACACGCACACGCACACGCACACGCACACGCACACGCACACGCACACGCACACGCACACGCACACGCACACGCACACGCACACGCACACGCACACGCACACGCACACGCACACGCACACGCACACGCACACGCACACGCACACGCACACGCACACGCACACCCACACACACACACACACACACACCCGCGCGCGCGCGCCGCAATAGTCAATGCACAATAGACAATAAGCAACAATCCTTAATCAATCAAACATACCACATGTGAGTTAGTTAGAGAATATCAAGCAGCAAACACTGGAAGCGAAGAACAGCTCTTGAACCTTGAACAATGCGCACTAGCCAACAAGCAACAATCAACATTACGCGATATGCGGTATACAATAATCAACACACATTGTGCATTTGAGAAGCAACAACGGCTGAACGCAACGACCATTAAGTAACACAGACATGTATAAGCAATGAACATCAGATGATTAGCAACAAGCAATCAGCAGCAATTCAACATGAAGCAATGCGTAATCATCTAAAACTAAAACCAAAACATATCAAACAACAAACAACACTGAATAGTAATCAATTAGGCCTTGCCTCTGTCAAGAAATGACCCCCTTCTTTATCAGTGCTAGGGGGTATTTCGGGCAGTTGTTCCATATTAATTGTGGATATAGTTACTGCGTAATTATTGGCAGGGTCACTATTAGTTCATACAAATTTATACCAATTTGATACCAATGTTTATACCAACTTGATACAAATTTGATACCAATGTTTATACCAATTGTATACCACATGTATACTAAAGTTATACCAAGTTCATACCAATGTTAAACACATTGTGTACATTTTGTGTTGCCACATTTATACACATGTCATACCATATTTGGGCTCAGATGTCATACCCCGTTGGTATAGAATTGTTATAAAATCTGTAATATTGATGCAACATTGGTATGAAAATTGGTATGAATTGGTATGAATTCTGGCCCGTAAAATTGCTATAAATCCACTAAATCCCAACGGCACGGCCAGATTTCATACCAATTTTTGCATCCCCGGATGTATACCAATTTCATACCAATTTCATACCAATTTTCATGCCATTTTTATATATCAATTTTATACACATTTTATGCCAACTGGGTATGATATCTGAGCCCAAATATGGTATGACATGTGTATCATGTGGCAAAACAAATGTATAACATTGGTATACATGTAGCATACAAGGTGTTTAACCTTTGTATAGATGTGGTATAAATTTGGTATACATTTGGTGTAAATGTGGTATATACAAGTCTGAATTTGGTATTGATTGGTATCAAGTTGGTATAAACAGTGGTGTCAAATTGGTATCCAATTGGTATAAACATTGGTATCAAATTGGTCTGAAATGGGTACTGTCTTGGCCTAAAGAGTTTTTGTTAGAGGCAAATCCTAAGTAATCAACCGATGTGCACTCACCAACAAGCTATAAACATTCAATGATAGACAGGAACATATACACCAGTAAACATGAGGCAACACACAATACGCGATGACCTCTTAGCAATTAAAACAAATACACCCCACACAATTCACAATAAACAATAACTATTCAACACCACACATTGAACAATAAACACACTTTACGCGATAAACAACAATCAACATAATAGACAGTACACCCTGGACAATGCACACTGAACACTGACCGTATAGAAGAGACAATCAATGCTAACAAGTATCCAAAGCATAATACACAGTCAACTGCCCCCTACACACAACTCTCAGTACCACTCCAGAAGCACTAGCCAAAAGTACACGCAGATTCAATGAACAATGACACAACACAAAAATGTAAGGACTAACCGCTCCGCAATCAACGCTGAGCACTAAGCCACAAACAGCAAGCAACAACAAGCAATACAACAAACAGTGGTCCACGAAGCAATGAGCATTGCATAATGGCAAGAAGGACATGTATAATAAATACAACCAACAACCATCAGGCAGACAACGTCAGACAACATCATAAACAACAATTGTCAAACAATCCTCAAGCAAACAAAACACACACACACACGCAGCGGCTCCACAAAATTAGCAACAGCTATTCAGCAAGAATATACATTCGACAAGCAATACCTATCAAACAATAGGACCTCATGTTCAGCATTGACCATTTGGCATCAACCACTAAATAGTAAAAGGTACATACAACTGACACAAAACATGGCTACTCAGGAGACGCTGGACAGCCGCGTGAATGCGCGAAACTGGGTCGTGACCCCTGAGGACTTGCCCACGGCACCTTGGATAAGTGGCTTCTGGGGCCCCATGGGCTGGGCTGACAAGACGGTCAAGGGCACCTGCATACGAAAAACGAGAAAACCAGCTCAACACACTGTAACACCAGGGCCCGCAGGGCGTCCCACTCTCAATACACGGTCCCCCGCCTAGTAAAACAACACTTCGGAGTTTTGTTCTAGGGTCCCCCAGTTTTTTGCCAGAGCTGTTTCAGAGTGCGTTGTTTGGCATTGGGCTCCAATTGGAACAGGGGGACCCCTTGAATTTGCAAAACAAGTTTTCCGAATCTTACTTAAGTAAGAACTGTAAAAGGGAAGGGACCCTTTTGATTTGCAAACAACATGTTCAGAATGCAACCTATAAGTAAGAGCTGTTCAAGGGAAGGGACCCCTTTGATTCGCGAGCATAAACTTAATGATCAAAACCATGTTTATGCCTAGAGGACAGATGAGAGGACATCATATAATCAGGATATGTCCTGGTTACAGATCCGGAACTTCCATGACGTGACAATTAGGTGGCCCCAATGGACGTCTGGGGAGCTTGGCCGAGTTCATCTGGTTTCCAGAGAGATATTGGTTTAGTACTGGGTAATTTAAGAGAAGCATAAGCGACACCTCCAGTGGCCTCAGCCTTTTGGAGGCTTCCCCAGGTCCCAGAGTGCCCCAAAGCCGTGGAGTCAGGGAGGCCTTTCTTATGGGGACCTGCCCCGTCGTCGGGTGCTGGAAGGTTAGCTGTGATTTGTCCAAGCATTGAGGAATGTGATTTAGCAAGCAGTTTTAGTCCCCCACTTCAGACAATGTCAAGGAAAACCAAAAAGGAAACCACCATTTTGTGGGTCCTATTTGACACGCCTGTGTGAAACTTGACCCATTGCAACTCGCGCTCTGTATGCCATGAATCACGAATGACGGCAGTTATTGTTGCGTTTGGCTGGTAGTAAGCCCAGTGGTTCTATTCAACTGTGCAGTAGGCAATGGAGCTGCCCTTCAATTGCGAAAAACATAATGGCTGTATACTCTTTTGTGGTGACTGAGATCCACTGGGAAGTAGATGGTAATAACATTTGGCCATCAGGACATTAAAAAAGGCTTCTAACAATGAGTGCTTTAGTTGGGGCACGGCAAGATTTGACCTATGTTCAAGCAGAAAAGCTTGACGCCTGAGTGGAATTGGACGGCCCTGCCAGTGTTTCAGAAATACGAGCAAGAATGTGCGCAATGCTCGCCCGGCTTGGGAGGAACAACTTTCATGGTGTGTGTCTGTGTGTGAAGTGTGATCCAGTGATCCGCTATTCTAAGGGTTGATTCCCCATCATGTTTGCAACCATCATGCTTTTCAGAAACGAGCTGTTTTCATGTCTTGTTGTTTTTGTGGAAGTAAGGATGGTTGTGGCGTTGTTCGTGAAAGCAGGATTCTCGCTAGAATAACGATGAAGTTTCCCCCAGAGCAATGGTAGCAACGGTATACTCTTCATATGTCCGTTATGCTTGTTTGTTCCATAGGTGGTATCCATGTGCTACCAGCAGCACTCAGGGCCCTGAAGACACATGTTTGATCCCATGCTCGGTTTTGATACTTTTGGGATCGACATCGCCCATTGCCCAGTTGTTGTTGTTGTTGTTTTTTCCCTTTCTTTTTTTTGTTCCGTGTCTTCTCTTTCAGTTGGTCTCCTCTGATTGAGCTTCGAGTTGAGGCAATGGCAGGTTTGCTTCTGCAGCGAAATTCGTAGTTTTGTCTTCCACGAGTTCTACTTGGCTCATGAATTATGCCCTCTTTTAAACGACCCGTAATGGTTCACTCATTCAGGTTCGATGGTCATCAGTGTTGCATGTTCCCGGCTGAAACTGTTGTAGGTCCCGATTGCTGCAGGTACTGTAGTAGGAAGTTGCGCCTAGGCACGTTTCCTTCAGTTGAAGAGGACCCCTTCCTTGCCCCTGGAAGTCGCAGAGAAACACTATTCGCCAACTGATTCACAGGTCTGCGGGTTGGTTTAGAACAAAGAGTTGCCATGGTTACAATTTAGTGTTTACGTGCAAGGTATACTCGACAAAAAATGACTTGGACTTGCCATCCGCCGGCTGACCTTTTCAGTCTGCCTGCACATGTGTGTGTGGTTCGCTTTTAGAGGGTGCCCTTTACACATACCCATATTGGCCACACTCCCAGGTTAGCACTTTGCAGAAGGAGGAGCCCTTCAACTTGAAGGAAGCGTTGGACATCGACGATGTTGACGACCATCGCTGACCCAGCAAGCGCTTTTCCGCTGGGGAACTTGCCCGGCAATCCCCAGACACGGATAAATCGCCAACCGCTGAACAGGTTGCAGGGACGGGAACAGAACTGGCCCTCCGCAATTCCAGAACAGAAGCTACCTTGGGTGCTTTGGGTTTTGTAAGGGATTCAAAGCCGGTGTTTCCCCAGGCATGTCACCTGCCATGTAGCTAAATGCAGCCCAGCCATCAAATCAGTTTGCTGAATCCGGATCACTTGAACTCTGCCCAGGAGCTGCGTGTTTACTTTGTTCCCGTCCCTGCTTTTAGGGTGTGAATCATTGATTTTAACCAGCTCCGAGTCATTCTCTCTCCGGAGTTGCAAGGCACAGTCTTTGTGGTGCTCCGAGCATTGATCAGTTAGTTGGAGCCAAAATTTGAGGATTTCAAGTTGCTCTGAATGATCTTGGTGATGCGTCCTGAAGTGCTACATATTAGCACGCCACCGTTGCTTTTCAATGAATGCTTAGCTGTTCGAAAAGAATGGGGTTGAGGCTGTTTTATCTACGTGGAGTGTTGTTGCAACTATGTATGTATGTATGTTTGTATGTAATGGAATGGAATGGAATGGAATGGAATGGAATGGAATGTAATGTAATGTAATGTAATGTAATGTAATGTAATGTATGTACGTATGTATGTAATGTATGTAATGTATGTAATGTATGTAATGTATGTAATGTATGTAATGTGTGTAATGTATGTAATGTATGTAGGTAATGTAATGTAATGCAATGCAATCTAATCTAATGTAATGTCATGTAACATAATGTATTGTAATGTAATGTAATGTATGTAATATGATGTACTGTAATCTAATCCAATGCAGTGTAATGTAATGCAATGGATTGTAATGTAACGTGATGTAATGTAATGTCATGTAATGTATGTATGCATGCATGCATGCCTGTATGTCTATATGTATTCATGTACATATACATAAAGACTTTGGCTAAGATGCCAAACAGTTTTGCATTGTTCTGTAAGCAGTGGGACTTCTTGCGCGGTGCGTGATGCTGTGCCACAGGATTGACATATTTGCAACATGCTTGAACGTGTATTTGCGATACACTTATGTTCAAACATACTTGGTCATTGGCAGAATTATGCAGACAAATGCAGCAGTATCACTAACGCAGAAGGGAACACATGCAGATTGGCTTCGTGCTTCATGTTGAAAGTAGTAATCATGAGAGCAGCGAGAAACACATTTGGACAAAATGTAACAAGCTCACTTGGGGTCAAACCCATCACGAACGTCTTTTGCCAAGGGGTCCCTTATTTTTGGTTTCGAATTTCATGAATTCCCGTTGAAGCATGCTGTGTTTGTTTTCTGAACCGAATTTTGCCACCTGTGCCTTGGGCCAGGGAATGCGCAGCTTGCACGGTGGTCTCGAATTGGAATCCTCGGGTGCTTGCCCGTGCCTGTCATGGTCATTTTGCCTTCACTTCAGCTGTTCGGTGGAGGTCAAGGTTGCGGATATCAGGGGTAGGCTCCACTTGTGTGATATGATTTGAAGGAAATACTTGTCTTGTTCAATGGAAGGCGCAGCGTATCCTAAAGGATTCTTCGCCATAAGTTTGGTTGGGATGACGCTGCGTTTGCTTACAATATTTGTCCAGGCAGACGGTGGCCGGGGGACGCCAAAAGACCGTTGAGCCAGAGCAAAAGGACAAGCCGTTCTGTGTGATTCCGGGAGTGAGAGTCTCAACCAGGAGGCTGGCACTTCACCGACAAGAGAGGGGAAACGATGTAAGGCATGGCTCACTCTCTGAGTTCCTGAACTTCTTTTTGGAAAGACCATTTCTGTGGTAAGAACAACGATTTTTGTTTGCCAATCCAGTCACGGATATAATTTTGCTTTGGAGTTGAGACCTTGCGTCTCGTTCGGCTGCACAGCCATGCACGTTTCAGCGCAAATTTCCGTCCGGACCAATGTCAGTGCACGGCCCTGAGATCCACAGGCCTTGCGGTCAGTCCCAGGGGTCAGTGGATGGATTCGGGGGCAACCCGAGTCCCCTGTCCCTTCAGGCAGAAAATTGGTAGATGGCCCTTTCAGGAACCAAATTTATTTGTTTCCATGCCGTGTTTTGTTGTTTAGTGGGAAGGACAGGAATTCTGAAGTCTACGTGATTTCCTTTGCAGAGCTAAGATTGTAACTCAGCTTGAAGGAAGGGCGGAATGAAACGGCAGCGGAAGCTCAGCGCAAGCGTGTGCTGCCCACGTGGGCCCGAAGGGGCGCCGGGCAGACGAGCTTGCGGGAACAGACGAGATACGGCTACAGGCTTAAGACTCGGGAGCGAGTCGGGTCAGGGTTTGACTGCATGTGTTAGTCTCCATCTGCACTCCCCACCGGAAATGGCTGGTTGTTGGTGTTCCTTTTTGCAGCAATCCCAAGTCTTGACGGCTTGATTTGCTGTAGGCTATTGAGTCAAAGTCCAGAAAGCGGTCGAAAGCCGGAAATATGTCCCGCGAAAAAGGCATACTCAAGTCTCCCTCCTTTCCTGACTTCCGCTCCCTAGAGCTGTCGCGGGCCGCTGCGAGCAAAGCCTCCAAGCTCCACAGGAGCTTCGGCTGCGTCTGGGAGAGACGTGTCCGGGCCAGTGACATGGCAAGTTTATCTCGGCGGGTTTTCGCATGTCGGCTTGAGGTTGTCCCTCGTGAGTGACAAGGGCATGCCTTTGGAGTGACGAAGTAGCCTTGGGAATGACTCATTTCCCCACTTCAGTGGCACCAATTATGAGTCCTTCCTTTGTTAGCTTTGTTTACCACTAGGGATGGATTCAACCAACCCTAAGGAGTGCACGTTTCGACCATTCAGGTGACAGGTGGCATCTAGAGTTTAGCTGAACCTTCCGAAGCTTGTTGGACAAAGCACATGTATATGATAAGGTCAGAATGTGTACAGCATATGCGAATATGTGCAGACAACCTAGAATCCAATCATTTTTGATTGAAAACTTGATTGCCACTCAATGGAACCATTGGCCCGATTCCAATTTACGAACTATGAACAAGCCCCATCAAATTCTGAGGTATGAGTATTTTCAGCATTTCCGAATCTGGCCCTTGGATATGCTCTCAGATTCTCGGTCGCGGCCAAATTCGCCAGCTAATTGGGGGCTCGTGAGCCTCTGTTTGGGCATCTGCAAAGCAACGAGCCCTGGTGGCACACAGATCGATATTTGCTAGAGGTTAAAGAACGCTGCATTCTGCTGGCTGAACGTTGCACTGCCCTCAAAAGGGAACTACAAGGGCTGAACCTTCGTGCATGGCACGCGGTCCAGTAGGACGGGCTATGTGCTGCTCTGGTCTTGTGGCTGGAGCACTGGCCTACTTGCTGTCAGGGCATTATTTTGCATCTCTGATCTTGTGTTTTGGAGGTACAGATTGGCATGGGTTGGGTGCTTCGTCCAACGATGGGCCTGCAACCCAACTTATCAGAGGTCACTTCCCCTTTAAACAACTGCTCTCTTCTTTTTTGGACCTTTACAAAGTCCCAGCCTAGGCAGTGCTTGACACGCAACCCGGATGATTTGGGTACCAACAAACAAGTTCTGTTCGCTTACACGCAACCATCTAATGACCTGACCTGTTTTTCCCTTGTCTGCGGTGGGTTCAATCTCCAAAAGGTTTTTATGTGTTACCAGGGTTACAGGGCGTCCGGAGCACTGACACAATAGGGCAACCATGACTTTGCTGACACGTGAGGTGAAAATTGCGTGTCATTTGGACCTCGAAGATCCAAGATCCCAGGCTGTTCAACCAGACCTAAAGAGCAATTGAAGAGGACTTCTACTTGACCTACATGGGGCTTGCTAGGGCAAGTTGTGCTGTTTGAGTCAGATCCGGGCACAAGTATGGCCAAGCGTGCTGAAAGAAGCTCAACCAACCCGGCAAATTGAGTATTTGGGTTGCTCCGCTGGTTGCTCCAAACTCCAAAGCAAGCACTAACCCACAAGGGCAGAACGTGGCAGATTTGAGCCGTTGTTTGGTCTTTTTCCAAGCAAATATCGGGTCTGGTGGCAGGGTCTTTGGACACCCCTGTTGTGTTTTCTGTTTGCGACTGAAACAGGATAGAAGGCGAAGGACAAGCTCAGATTCTGTCCGAGAAGTCATCTCATAGAGCCCCCCGCTCATAGCGTTTTAATGAATTGACGTTCTGAGGGTGTTTGTATTACAGTACACCCTGGGATTACGCCCTTGGAAAATGACCCAGAATGGTTCAACACGGCACGGTTTTATCCGGAAATGTGCCTAAATGGGTTCAATACCCAGTGGGTGTATTCCCAGGGTGCAATACGAAAAACCTTAGACAAGATCTGGGAAACATGCGTACCCAGTTGACCTGCCTTGTTGTGGGCCCTTGTCGTCCTTGTGGCGCCTCAAGTTTTCTTGCGGGCGGCAAGACCTACCGGTCTCAGCCGTGGGCAAAGCAACCAGGCAGAGGGGAACACTAGTTGAATCATCCAATCCCGTATTGTAATGTTAGAGGGGGTGGTATCCCCCATCTATAGCTATAGGGACAGTTTTGTGTGCTCACCCACGGTTTGAACCAAACATCCAGCTGTCCATGAGTTATGAGAATGCGCTAATCCCCAACTCCAAGCATCGTTTCAATGGGTGTGCCGGATCCTTTTCTTCGAATGGTTCCTCCGTGGCAGTACCGGCTTTCCAGCCGACGAGATTTTGGTTCCGGGCCAAACAACACAATTTGAGAGTTTGTTTTCTTTTCTTCTTTCCCATTTTGCAGTTTCATGTTTAGTTGGTGGGAAACCAATACACATCGATGGCTTGACCCTGTCGGACAAAGGTGCGGGCCCTGCATCTTCGCTGCCGTTAGTGGAGCCAGGAGCTCAGTTGAGCCGAGCTGACTGGAGCGGTTCATGTGAAGGTCACAAGGTCTGAAAATGTGCGGGTTGATCTCCGAGTTTCATCGCCTCTTCCTCTAAACTACCCATTGTCCCAAAATCTAAGGCCTGATCCTCCATTTTCTTCACGGATTGTTTCCGTTTTCCAAAATCCAGGGGTTGATTCCCGAGTTTCTCAAGCGATTGTTTCAATGGACCCATTTTCGCAAAT